ACTGAAGCGCAGCCTGTAGCGTGATCTAGCGGAGGCCGGTAATTGTGTTTCTAGTTGCATGCACGCTGGCAACTGACCCAGATTTAGATGCTACGGCCGCCGCAGGTGCAGCGGAAGTTGCAGCGCCATCTTCGGCTTCTGTAAAATCGCCATCAGCAGCTGCATTACCACCTCCAGCAGCTGCAGAAGGACTTTCAAAACCTAAATCATCACCGTCCGCAGCTGCATCAGCACCTTCGTCAGCTGCATTAGCACGTCTGCCGCCATCAGTTGCCTCCTTTGAGCTTTCGAGAGTCTCTGTCAGCCAAACAAGCCAGAAGTTAACCTGGGCCAAGGCAATCTCCTGCAGTTGCAGCATCTGGTCAATTATCAACAGCCGCTGCCCCTTTGCGACGGCCGATGCAGCGGGCTCGGCTTCGTTGACCCTGTCGAGGAGCATGCGAAGACTTTTGATGTGCCGCTCCCGCGACCTGCTAATCTTTTCTCTGCCTAACCTATCCTGAACGGCCGATAGTTCTCTATAAATTGCATATATATTTGCGTCAATGCTGCCCCTTTCTGTTCTTCCCAACAAAGAGAATAATGCTGTGGTCTCAACCAAGGACAAACAGAAAAACGTCGTTACGCACTTGACACTAAGATCGGGAGGCAACTGCTTCACCAGAGGCTCGCCAATCGCTATAACTCGAGCCGATTCAACGGTATAACGGTGAGCACACTCCAACAATCCTCTGTGACGAGAGACCGCGTCACCTCGCCGGCAGAAGCAGCAGCCGCGGCAGCAGGCCGACCCTTCGCCAGCGCACCCCATGGCTCCCCCGGATCTTTATTCGTAGTCTATTCTGCTCCTGTCAAAAGTCTGAGTGTCACTCTGCTCTTTGTGGCGTTCGCCAAATACAAAGCACAGCGTAGCACCAAATACACTGCCGCAGCAGTAGCGATGGCTGCGACGACTGCAGTGCTAACCCCCCCAAACCGCCAATTCTGTCTCAGTGGAATGCTTTCTGAAGTAACAGGCAGCACAACCTCTCCGTGGGAGGCCTCCGAAGCACCGCCGCCCAAGTCGAGCAGCTCCAGCGCTCGGGCAGCGCCCGGTTCCATTGCAGATGCGGTCCGCATGGCTTCTCATGCTCTTAAGAAAGCCTACATTGAGCTGGGTGAGTGGCACAGGAAATCAGGGGAAAACTCCGGGAACGCGAAGCCAGGAGAAAAGGAGGATCACTGTATCGGCGCGGGGGTTGATCCAGTGTCAAACGATAGGCGTGCACCGTAGCGCCTCTGAAAAGCAATTTACTGTGCATGACCAAGAAAGAAGCGAGCTTATTTGACCATAGACATCATTTGAGGACGCCGGAGAACCTTGCATTCAGGACATGAAAGGGCATAAAACATGTGACAGCGGGCGTCGATAGCACGGCGGGCAGCTTGGAGATCCTTGGTGAGACACACGCACATGCGACGACAAAGCACGCATCAAATGGATATAATTAATATATTTGAGTGCTCATTCAATGAAAAATATGACATCCTCTGAACCGATTCCTCGCGAGAACCGTTCAGGGCGGCCTCACCGGCGAGGCAGCTTGTAATGCTGTGGGGTTCGGCAGAGCACTTCCATGTTTGCTAGAGATAATGCGATGGACATATATATATAGTTTTTAAAACTTTTTTTTCAATTGAAATAAGTACCAACTTATTTACACAATTTGACATAACACTAAGAAACAATAGCTGAAGAGGCAAATGTAGTCAAGGAATTTGCATCTACTCAGTGCTCAGCAATGTAAAGTAGACCCGATTCACTCCCTTTTTGCGGAGCAGGCTGGCTGGCCACACCCCATCGCATATAGTGCCGATGTCTTCGTGGATCGGCTTAACAGGTGTGCTCACTTTTTCCGCCGCTGGAGCCCGGTTACAGCCGAACGAGTGGCACAGTTAATTATTAATCACGTCTGAAAGCTCCATAGCTTTCTAAGAACCATCGTCGCCGACAGGGACCCGAAGTTCGTTAGCGCCTTCTGGCACATACTCATGCAACGGCGAACATACATAATTGGCTTGATTTTCTTGTTTGTGTGGAATGGGTTTATAATCCAACAATGCACTCGTCAACACGTTGCACTCCGGCAGCTCGGGCCTACATGAAGCGCCGCCAGCTGACCCGACGCTAGATCTCGCTGTTGGAAGCCAGCTCCAAATAAGCGCTGCCCCCGAGTTGCCCATACAGCTCGCAGCAGCACGAGAATGCACTATAAAGGCACAGGAACGCCAAGCCATAGACTAGGACAAAATGTGTTCACCAGTTATTACATTCAACTCAGGCGACTGGGTTCTAGTGGATTCGCGCGCCCTTCGTATAAAGAAAGAAGGCAAGCAGTCCAAAAAATCTCGCAGCACGGTGTGTAGGGCATTTTACTGTCTGCTCTCGGGTCAAGGGGCCGCCCTACATCATTGACCTACCTTCAACGTGGTGATATCCAATTACGGTCGGCCTCTTGAAATCTTTTCGGGAATATTCGTGGTTCTTTCGAACTCTGGAGGGGAAACTGCAGAATGCCCATAGGAATAGAAGGATCCAAGATTCTAGAAGCCCGCGTTACCACCCGTAGAGGCCACTGGAAGCACGAATACTCCGTGAAATGATCGGACAACCGTGAATCTGAGTGGGCTTCGGAAAATCGGTGGCGAGAAGCGATCCCCTCGGAGCATCCCCAAGCTCTTCTTGGCATCCGCCGTCGTCGTCGGCGTGCACTTTAGTGCCAGATATTACAATGCTGAGCCGGACGGGCACTTGGAGTTTACGTGGGGATTATGAAACATACTATGGAATTAAAGAGCATACAAACTCTAAAACAATGGTCTGTATTTGTTTCGGAATACAGACAAGACCCAGGATGCGCTGTGGCTGAGTCCTGGCCAGGGCTGGCAGCGTCACTGTCGGCATCGGGGTTGTCCGTATACAGGGACAAAGAGGGATAACTTTCTTGGAGAAAGATGTTTTATGCTCCTTCGAGGCATGAATCTGCGGTTGCCTGCAGGGAGACAGGCACTTTTTGTCGCGTAGTGCAATAAGATAACACATGTAGCGACTGAGATTGACTTAACCCACTATAAACTGCAAGGTTGTACTATTGTTCTCCTTCTGGCTCCCTCTTGAAAAGTATTGGAGTTGGAAGTGAACATCAGGACCTATTTTATTATGTTAAATTAAATTAGGGATTAATCATTGAGTGTAGTATTTGTATATACAGTGTGCACCGGCAAGGTAGGCATAGGACAGAGTAGTTGTAAAGCGCTCAGGGCCTGCGTTTGCGAGGGAAGGGGCAGCCTAGGTGGAGTTGCAGTGCACCGTGAGCGATGCAAGCCAACCTCACGTCTGCGCCCTAGGAAGCTTCAACCAAGCTTCCTTCCCTTCACGATTCACCTCTGTAAACACGTATGAGGCATTTGCACTTGCTTGCAGGCAACGTATCAAGGCCAAACGAATGTTCGCGTGCTGACTTCGGGCAGAACTGCTACAGAGACCAAGCTCCTGCAGCAACTCCAGCAGGTAAACTGCCCCGACAGAGTCGCTTGGCGCACTATACACAGCTGAACTGCAGCTGGTGCAGCTGCACAACGCAAGATGGTTACTGCAGCATCAGCAGCAGCAAGTTCTGCGTGCCGGCGATGCTCGATGCGCCTGCCTCAATTTGTGCGATTTCGCCTCCGCTAAGGCACCACGCGATTATGTGGCTATAAGTGGTTCCTCATGCTCTTTAGTCTGCAAATACACTCTATGCAATCTGGTAAGGCCAATTTCATTGCAGCAACACCAGCCGTGGAAGCAAGAGATCAGCCACAGCAGCACTCCCGCTGCGAGGCCGAAGGCACACCGTGAACCCCACTACGGATAACCTGTTGGTGCCCCGCCTGAAACATCTGGTTTTAGGGGGTTTAAACCAGTTTATTGGTTGAACCTGCCGGCAAGGAAGTCAAGAAAATCCATGTCAAACCTCTTTTGTGGCCTGTGCCTGCCTTTCCGCTACGACCAGCAGGCTGCCCGCCGGGACTGGTAGCACGCCGTGGTCATTGTTGCCCGTTCTCCTCCAAGGGTTTGAACACAAAGTCCTTTTCGGCCTTCAAATACAGTTTAGGACTGAATAAACCCCATTTAGCAGTAGGCGATGCGGGAAAACTTCTTTTTCAGAGGGGATCCATTGCCGATGGATGCTTAGGGACCACCGTCCCCGACGCAGTTGTGCTCCTCTCCTTCTGCCCCTACGTCTTCCGCCCTTTCCTCCGATTTCCTGTCTTATTATCCAGCCCCAATGTAGCTTGGCTTAATATTACGAGGATCCATGCAAGTCGCACCAGCAGTGGAGCCGGGCGATG